CATCCATCCATCCATCCATCCATCCATCCATCCATCCATCCATCTCCTCCTTCCAGCAGCTCAGAGCTCGGTGCACCCTGAGAGACCCCACAGGGCACAGTGTGAAAATCCCCGCCTGCTCCTAGTTCAGTGAGGAAAGGGAAGGAGATCTCTGCCCAGCAGGAAATTTGCCCATTAACACCCCAGACACCAAAGCGTCAATGGAGCTCTTCCCTCAGAACCAGCTCCGATGCCTCTGCCTGATGGGAAGTCTAAAAATAAGCACATTCTCCACAAACAGCTTAAAGATGTTGAAAATGAAAAGCAACAAAGGCTGGAGAATGGGTGAGTCACTAAATTACAGGGCTATCTTTCGAAGAGCAAAACAAACCACACAGAGCCCCCCCAGCCCTGGCTGCTGAAATTCCTCATGGGGCTGGGCTGGGGCTCTCTGCCCTGTGCAGGCACTCAGCTGAGTCTCGTGGGCTCTGAAGGGTGAAACCTTGCCCAGCTCTGCTCCACTCAGTGCCAGAGATGCTCTGACTGATGAGAGCAAATCCAGCCTGGCCAGCAGCATGAGCAGGAGCTGCTGTTCTCTTCCACATGGGCATTGCTGGGAGCTTTTTGGGATAATCCCCCTCACATGAGCTCCCAGGATGAGGAGCCTTCCTGCAAGGGGTGTAAGCAAAAAGTCCTGTCCACAGAGGGTTCCCTGGCCCCAAGGAAGCCACCAGTGTTTGGAGTCTCAGTTGGGAAAAGATCTCTGTGGGTGTCACTGCCTGTCTGTACCTTTAGCTGGGTGAGAACACAATTAAAGGAACTCTCGGTTTGGGATTTTCCCCCTCCCTCAAGCTCCTTTCAATGAGCTCCACCAGGGTGGACTCTGTTGCAAAGCTGCAGCTTTATTAGCATTTGCAGATGAGCTTGAATCAAAATGCTGGCATTTGAGGCAGCAGGAAAGGGGCTGGCCTAGTGCCAAATCTGATATTTGCAGCCAGCCCCAGGCTCTGGTAGAGGCTGGAATGAACCCTTGGATCCCAGCAGATGGTGGGGCTGGAGGTGCCAGCCCTGCTGCTGGGGTGTGAAGTGCCCTTCTCGGGGCCTGCAGGACTGCAGGGTGTCTCTTTCTGCCCGGGATGAATCCCAGGATGGTCTGGGTTGGAAGGGACCTCGAAGGGATCCAGTGCC